AATACTCAGTCCTGGAGCTGCCATCTAAAGGTTACTGATGACCTAATTACCAACTCCTGTGATCTCTCCTACATTCAACCACTCGCTCTAACCTGGGTCATTTCCATGGTTCTGTAAATGTTTTCAAGCAACTCTGTTTAAAACCTTTCCTTGATAGACAAAATGTGGTGTATAGATACGATGTAATATTATTCAGTCTTAAAAAGGAAGGAAATTCTGACATAAGCGACAATGTGGATGAACCTTGAGGATATTATGGTAAATGAAATAAGCCAGTCATGAGAAGACAGATACTGTATGATTCCACTCATATGAGGTACTGAGTATCAAATCCATAAAGACCGGAGAATGGTGGTTGCTAGGGGTTGGGGTTGGGGGAGCTGTTGTTAACAGGTATAGAGTTTTAGCTTTGCATGATAAACATAATTCTGAAGATGGGTTGCAGAACAGTGTGAATGTACTTAACACTACTGCCTGTACACTTAGAAATGGTTAAGATGGTAAATTTTATGCTATGTGTATTTTACCACAATTAAAAAGTTTGGAAATTGCTATTTTTGACAATAGTTAACACTATATGCTTTATACTGCATATTTTCTATTAGGAGTCAGCAGTTGTATATATTGATTGGGAATCTAAGTAATTGAAATATGAAATTCTGTACTCATGATTAATAAGAGTGCATAGATATTTTTTAAAAACCCAAACTTCCTTGATCCTATATTCTCCTCCAGCTGCCATTCTCTCTCCTGTTCCTTGTGGTCAATCCATGTTCATTAGAAGTGGTAGCAACTCTGTATTAGTTCCTTATTCTACCCGCTCCATCCTGCCTCCCTGACCAGGCACAGGAGCCACACTTTTCCTCATATTCTCTCCTTACAGCAAATATTTATTGAGTTGTAGTGGAAGGTGAATAAAATATAATGTGTCTTCAAGGAGCTTAAAATCTAATTGTACTTACTTCTTCCTTGACCACCCCACCTCAACCATTTCCAAGAAGGATTCAATGTAGTTCTAATCTAAGAAAAAGGAGTAAGTTTATATGTAAGTAACTACAGGGGTGCCAAGAGTGAAAAAAGTGCTGAGGCATACAATGCCCTCCACTTCACAGCGCACTTTCCATGTTTCTTAGGGATGCGGCAGGTTTTCTGTGGGAAAATAGCAGGAGATTAGAGTGGAGTGATGGGTTGGGGCAGCGGAGTGGAATGGGGCAGCATCGAATGCTAGAAGAGCATGGCTTATTACAGAGGCTAGTGGGAAGCAGAGGACTGATCAGAACTGAGTTTTAAGATGTTCGTCTGGCAGCTCTATGGATCTGGAGAAGGAGCTCACTAGGGACGAGGAGCAGTAAGCAGCCTGTTACAGATGAACAACTGAGAAGTAATGAGAGCTTGCTCAGGTGATGGCAAAAGACAGAACAAAGGAAAGGCACTGTGGAGAAAACAACAGTGTACCTTGGTGATTAAAGGTAACTAGATGAAGGGGAGAAGTCACAGCTAACTGTAATGGGCTTTGTTATTAACACAAATAAGGAATAAGGAGTGGTTTGGGGGAGGAAAATGATGAATCTTACCTTGGATATTGTGTTAATTATATATTGCTGTGTAACAAATTATCATAGAATTTAGCTGTTTAAAGCAGCAAGCATGTATTATCTCATACAGTTTCTGAGAGTCAGGAATCCAGGAGCAGCTTAGCTGGAAGGTTTCAGTTTCAGTCTTCTCATGAGGTTGCAGTCAAGATGTTGGCCAGGGCTACAGTCATCTGAAGGCTTGACTGGGCCTGGAAGAATCTGGTTCCAAAATATCTCACTCACATAGTTTGGCTGGAGGCTGTAGGTCTTTGCTGGCCATTGGCAGGAGGCCTCCAATAAGGCTGCTTGAGTGTCCTCACAATATGGCAGCTACTTTCCCTAGAGTGAGTGATCCAAGAGAGCAAGCCAGGATGAGGCTGCACTGACTTTTATGGCCTACCATCCCTTCTGCCATAATTTATTCATTAGACGTGAGTCACTAAATCTAGCCCATACGCAAGGGGGAGGTTAGGCTCCACCCTTTGAATGGAGGGGTGTTGAAGAATTTGTGGAGATATTTGTAAACCACCACAGATATATCATGTTTTGAGGATGAACAGACTGAACATTCCAATGAAAATGTCAGGAGGAAGGAATTGGGGGCTTTAGAGAGCCAAGTTGCTACATATGGAAGTAGGTGACAGCTGGAGCTGAAAATACTGAAGATGGCAGGTTTCTTTACCTAATGATCTCAGTCAACCAGTCTCATTATTAATGGTCATTGTTCTCTTTTCCAGATTATATTATCCCAGTTATGCTAACCTTTTTTTTTTTAAAGGTTTACATTTTTAATTTCTTGTCTTATTTTGTGTTTTTTCTCCAAAGCTTCTTATCATGAAAAAATTCAAACTTACAGAAGAGTTGAAAGAGTGGTATAGTGAATGTCCATATGTGCACCATCTAGATTCAGTAAATGTTAACATTTGGACTTATTTGCTCTATCTTTTTAGCTATCTATGTATCTATCTAATCCATCCAATTTTTTTTCCTGAACTATTTATTAGGTGGCATTCTTTTGTAAAGAAGGGTTTCCCCTCGACCTTGGGACAAACTACAGATCCTCTTAAAAAGGCAGGGTACAGGTTTAATTCTTTTGCCTTAATTACTAATTTTCAGAACAAGGAACTGATGTAACAATCACTTACAATGGTACTAAATGATTCTCTTTTTCTTTTTCTCCTTTTCTCTATCACTATGGACTCATAGTCCAAAGGGTAAAAGCATATGTCATTTTGCTATACATTGCTGAATATCCATAGAGGTTGTGCCATTCTGCTCTCCCACCAGCAGTGTAGGAAAGAGTCCCTGTTTTTCCACAGTCTCACCAACAGAGTCAAATATTTGAATTTTTTCCAAACATGATAAGTGATAAATGGTATCTTGGTGTAGTTTTAATTTGTATCTCTATTGTGAACGAGATTGAACATCTTTTTAAGTGTTTTAAGAGCCATTTGCTTTCCTTTTTCTGTCTGTCTGTGTCTTTTGCCAATTTTTCCCATGAAGTTTTGGTCTTTTTAAATCTTAATTTATGAGTTCTCTCTATATACTAGGGAGATTAGCCTCTTATTTCTAATATAAATTCAGATTATTTTTTTTCCAATTTGTCATTAGTCTTTTGACTTTGCTTATGGTATTTTTATGATATGCAAAGATTTATGTACTGAATTTACTGGTCATCTTTTTATTGAGCCATAGTTAAGAAGGTTTTCCCCACACTCATGTTACAAAGAGATTTGCCTGTGTTTCCTTCTAGTACCTGTGCAGTCCCCTCCCTCCCCCACCCCTCCCTGTGCCTTTTCTCTCCCTCTCCTACCCTGCCTCCCCTCTCCCTCCCTCTCCCTCCTCCTTCCATTTCTCCTTTAACATTTGGATCTGTGAACCATGTGGTGTTTATTCTGGTGTATGTTCCTTTTCCACTGGCAATTCTGTTGTCCAACGTTTTCCCACTGATTTGAGATACTACCCTTATCATGTACCACATTTCCAAAAACTTTTGAATTTGCTGTTTTGGGATTTTCTATTCTGTTATGTAGAGTCTAGGTCCAGTCAGGAGACAGAACTACACAGTAGGTTAAACAGGGCAAGTTATTTTTTGTTTTTTAAAGATTTTACTTTTCCAGTACATAGTTGTATATTTTTCTTTTTAGTTGTGGGTCCTTCTAGTTGTGGCATGTGGGACGCTGCCTCAGCATAGCTTGATGAGTGGTGTCCATGTCCACGCCCAGGATCCGAACCAGTGAAACCCTGCACCGCTGAAGCAGAGCGCATGAACTTAACCACTCGGCCACGGGGCCAGCCCCAGGGCAAGTTTAATATAAAGCACTACTAACTATGATAAGAGATTAAGTATAGACTATAAGGAAACTATATGGCACCCTAGAGCTGAGAGAGTGTGCCCAAGGAAGGACAAATTGGAAGGAGTTCAGAGGTCATTGGAGAAGGTGGTTTGGCCCCAACTAACAGAGATGTTTGCTGGTTTAGTCGGGCCGGGGCTGGTCTGGAGTTGCAGTGGGGAGCGGGCAATCAGCAACTGGTGGTGTGGGCATGCCCTCAGAATACAGATGCCTGCGGGGGCAGAAGGCCTTTATAGCTGCAGGAGGCTTGCACAAGGGACAACTTCTCTGCGACTCCTCAGGCCACAGTCTGGACAGGTGGCTGCAGAAAGGTTCTCGCTGAGTCAAGGTTGCAAGGCTGCAGTCGGACTTCATTCTGGACTCGTGGCTGGGGCAGGTGCCACTGGATGTTCTCCACCCACAGGGCCAACCCCTGCTGGCACCGGAAATCACGGCAACCTCTTCCTCCTGCACGGTCCTTGCAGCGCCCTGTACTGAGAAAAAGCTCAGCATTGTGCTCACTTTAAAAGCTTCAAGGAATTCTGTTATCATAGGGCATATATTAAAGGACTTATTTGAAGCTGAGAGGCAATCTGTGGTAATTGACACAGTTACATTGGCTTGTTTATTCCTTGTTTTTTATTCTTGGCAATTCATAGTCTATTTGAATATCTGTTAAGGCTAGCCCTGCTCATTGATCTACTCTTTCAGATTTTTCCAGGTTATTCTGGCTTACTTTTTCAGTAAGAACTTTAAAGTAAACCTATCTTGTCCCAGAGAAAGAAAGTTGACGTTTTTATTTAATCTTGTGTTTTTTAATTTTAAAAAGCATTTTGTAATAAATTCTCATGGTAAAAAATATTCCTGTGGTTAACAACAACACTGAAAGCAATAAAGAAGTGAATGATGTAGGAAATGAGAGTTCATGCCTCACATCCTCCCCAACCCCTGAGGTTAATATTTTCATGCATATCTTTCAGGATCTATTTCTAAGCTCATACAAGTGTGTGTGTGTTTAATAAAAATGTTTGAACAGTTTTAACAGTTATGGCTGTAGCTCTAACTTAGAAATGTCTTTTGTTTTTCTTTATAGCCATTATACCTGCCCATGAGACTTTGAGAACATTATAATGTCCCTTTGTGCCTCTTCTCACAAGGAGTTTTCTCAACTTGTCTTACCTAGTCAAGACATGGATATCAAAAACTCACCATCTAGCCTTAACTCTCCTGCCTCCTACAACTGCAGTCAGTCCATCCTACCCCTGGAGCACCGCCCCATCTGTATACCTTCTTCCTATGTAGAGAGCCACCATGAATATTCGGCTATGACATTCTACAGCCCTGCTGTGATGAATTACAGTATTCCCAGCAGTGCCAATAGCTCCGAAGGTGGGCCTGGTCAACAGACCACAAGCCCAAATGTGTTGTGGCCAACTCCTGGACACCTCTCTCCTGTGGCGATCCGTCACCCATCGTCACTTCTGTATACAGAAACTCAGAAGAGTCCTTGGTGTGAAGCAAGATCACTAGAACATGCCTTATCTGTAAACAGGTAAATCCAGCCTTCATTATGAATTGTAGTTCATGAGCATTATTCAAATCACGTTATGATTTAGTGAGAAGAAAGATATGCATAATCCAAGGTCTTTATTAGTCATTGATTACTTGGAGCACCTAAAACATGATATTCTGAATTCCAGAATATCTATTCTGATATTCAAGTCCTCATTAAAAAGGTTGAGCTTATAGAGCTGTGTTGTGGGGAGAATTCACTCTCATGACTACTATCTTCAGACAATAAAGATTGAGCTTAAATCGCTTTTCTCTTGATGAAGTGATTTGGGTTTGAAAAAGAAATGTTTACCTTCAAATGAGATCCTTCTTATCTTGTAGTGAAATCACAGTTTAGTGTTCACGACAAATGGTGTCCAGGATGAGAGTAACTGGCAGTATTACAACTTAAATGAAATACTAGACATGTGAAGCCTGAAAAGACAGCAATTGGTAGAAGCTTTTTAACAATGAACTAAAATAATAACATTTTATAAAGATCGATGGGAACCTATTTAAATGTAGACTTAGCTGAAATTTATTGAAGTTAAAAAGAATATCTGTACTCTTTAAGTGCAAAGTAACATGATGGATTATTTCCATTCAATTTGTAATGTTTTTAATGATAATTATGGCTTTGGAGGGCAGAGGTGGTGTACGGAGAAGGGGGTGGGGGAGATAAATTTCTAAAACAACCAAAGTACTAAGTTACAGCATATTGGATATTGAAATTCATTACTTTCAAATGCTATCATAAAACTTTGGGAAAGCCATATTATACAGTAATTTTATTTTTCTTTTTAAAAAATGTTTGTTGGTCAAGGAGAATATAAAAATTATGGATAATTTTTTTAAGGTAATGTTTTTTGTTCAGCCCTCAAGAAAGAAATATTTTGGTTTTGAGCATCAGCTCTGATCTGAGTTCCACTAGTATTTGTGTAATGAAACCATAGTATAATTACCTTCATTTATAAACCAGTCATGCATCTACCATCTCTTTCTGAGAAAAACATGCCCTAGCAAAATAGGGAACCAGCCAGGTGTGTTTTGGTGTCTTCCAGCGCTCCCTTGATGGGCTCTCCTTTCCTCCCTGAGGCCCTTGCCGGTCAGCCCAGCCTTGAGTGCCTGCTTCCTTCAGCCTGCTCTAAGGACAGACATGTGTTCTCTCTCCTCCCCCTTCTGTCTGCTCCTTTCTTTCTCCCCTTTTCTTCTCCTTTCCATACCGCTCCCTTCCTTTGCCACCCCTACCATCCCTTCTACCTTTTCCCTCCCCTTCCCTTCTCTTACTCCCCCTCTCCTTCCCTTCCCTACACTTCCCTTCTCTTTTCTTCACTACCCTTCCCTACCCTTCCCTTCCTATCCCTTTCCTTTCCCTCCCTTCTCTTTCTCTCCCTCCCTTTTCCTCCCTTTCTCTACCCTACCTTCCCTCTCCTTCCCTTCCCTTCCATACCCTTCCCTTCTGTTTCCTTCCCTCTAAAGCCAGAATATAGTATTCACCTTAATATAACTTAAAGTCCACTTGTTACTCCTCTTAAAGTTGTTTTCATTCTAGACCTTTATCTTAAATTGCAGAATGAAAGATTTTGTCCGCCATTTAAATGGGGACTCTGAAGGGCTATTTAGCGACACTGTTTGGAATGACTGATACTTGGAAATGGTTGGGCGAGTTTAGGCCCATCCGCGCAGTGTTGATGAACTCCAGTAACTATGGTAGGTCACTGCACACCTGCTTGTGGTTCAGACCTGTGGGTAAGTCTCCATCTGGTCACTTACTACACTCAGAGATATGCGCCCCGATGGCTACACCAGCCACTTTCCTAACCACTTTCAAACCTCCGTCATTCCCAACAGTGTGACTCTTCATAGATCTGTTATCAGCAACAAAGGTTTTGCTTGATTACAGTTCCTGGGATATGTTTATCATGAACCTGGGAGGGCAAAGACATAAATTAGGCAATGTTCATGCTGGCTTTTTTTCTAGAAAGTCCTTCTTTCCCCCCCTTAATGCTCTTTTACAGTGAATGTTTTCTTTGCCCCCAGAGAGTCCCTGAAAAGGAAGGTTAGTGGGAGCAGTTGTGCCAGCCCTGTTACTAGTCCAAGTTCAAAGAGGGATGCCCACTTCTGTGCTGTCTGCAGTGATTACGCATCGGGATATCACTATGGAGTCTGGTCATGCGAAGGATGTAAGGCCTTTTTTAAAAGAAGCATTCAAGGTACAAGAGTATTATTAGTTGCTTCTTTAGTTTTCCGCTTTTGCTTTCAAATAATTTTGCAGCTGGCCTGGCAGAAATTCACCATTGGCCTGTTTGGAACACAAAGTACTTGATGAGCAGTTTGGAGGGTCATGTGTGTTTGGGGGTGGGGTGGATTGTTTCAAGTGTAGAGAACTTTATCTTTAATTGCAGATCTCTAGCCCCAAACTCCAGAACTTGAATGGGTCTTGCCCCACCATCACCCATCACCGTCTTCTTGTGAGAAGATGTCAAGTTACAACCCTTATGAAAATAAAGCTTGAAAAAATGTGCACTCCTTAGGAATTGTAAAGATCATTTCTTCCTTTGACTTATGTTTAATATCTGGTATGCGTAACAGTCATGATAGTGAGCTGGCTCCTGTTAGAATCCAGAGGGCAGTGAGGCGTAGAACGTTGGTAGATAAAGAGTCACCTTCCAGTGGATCCCCTGAAATTCACCCCATATTGATGACTATCTATTTGTCCTGGACCCTCCACTTAGTCACTCTCTAACTTTCCTCCCGGCTCATTTCCTCCTTTGTGAAATGGAGATACTCACAGAGTTGTTTGAAAAATGCAGTGAGGTTTATTCATTTGGGTAGTTTCCAGTTTTGTGCTATTTTGAATAAAAACTGTGAACATTCATGCATCTCTTTCTCTGTAGACGTGTTTTTTTTTTCTCTTGGGTAAATACCTAGGAGTAAAATTGCTGGTTGAAGATAGATGCAGAGAAAGCATTTGACAAGATCCAACACCCATTTATGATAAAAACCCTCAATAAAATGGGTATAGAAGGAAAGTACCTCAACATAATAAAGGCCATATATGACAGACCCACAGCCAACATCATACTCAATGGACAAAAACTGAAAGCCATCCCTCTGAGGACAGGAACAAGACAAGGGTGCCCACTTTCACCACTCCTATTCAACATAGTACTGGAGGTGTTGGCCAGAGCAATTCGGCAGGAAAAAGAAATAAAAGGAATCCACATAGGTAATGAAGAAGTAAAACTCTCGCTGTTTGCAGACGACATGATCTTATATATAGAAAACCCCAAAGAATCCATAGAAAAACTATTAGAAATAATCAACAACTACAGCAAAGTAGCAGGGTATAAAATCAACATACATAAATCAGTAGCATTTCTATACACTAACAATGAACTAACAGAAAAAGAACTCAAGAACTCAATCCCATTCACAATCGCAACGAAAAGAATAAAATACCTTGGGATAAACTTAACCAAGGAAGTGAAGGATCTATACAATGAAAACTACAAGACTTTCTTGAAAGAAATTGATGATGACATAAAGAGATGGAAAGACATTCCTTGCACATGGATTGGAAGAATAAACATAGTTAAAATGTCCATACTACCTAAAGCAATCTACAGATTCAATGCTATCCCAATCAGAATCCCAAGAACATTCTTCACAGAAATTGAACAAAGAATCCTAAAATTCATATGGGGCAACAAAAGACCGCGAATTGCTAAAGCAATCCTGAGCAAGAAAAACAAAGCCGGCGGAATCACAATCCCCGATTTCAAAACATACTACAAAGCTACAGTGATCAAAACAGCATGGTACTGGTACAAAAACAGGTCCACAGATCAATGGAACAGAATTGAAAGCCCGGAGATAAAACCACACATCTATGGACAGCTGATCTTCGACAAAGGAGCAGAGGGCCTACAATGGAGAAAAGAAACTCTCTTCAACAAATGGTGCTGGGAAAACTGGACAGCCGCATGCAAAAGATTGAAAATTGACCATTCTTTTTCACCACACACCAAAATAAACTCAAAGTGGATCAAAGACCTAAAGATTAGGCCTGAAACAATAAGTCTTCTGGAAGAGAATATAGGCAGTACACTCTTTGACATCAGTTTCAAAAGAATCTTTTCAGACACTATAACTCCTCAGTTGAGGGAAACAATAGAAAGAATAAACAAATGGGACTTCATCAGACTAAAGAGCTTCTTTAAGGCAAGGGAAAACAGGATTGAAACAAAAAAACAGCTCACTAATTGGGAAAAAATATTTACAAGCCACTTATCCGACAAAGGGTTAATCTCCATAATATACAAAGAACTCACACGGCTTAACAACAAAAAAACAAACAACCCGATCAAAAATGGGCAGAGGACATGAACAGACATTTCTCAAAAGAAGATATGAATATGGCCAATAGACACATGAAAAGATGTTCATCATCGCTAATCATCAGGGAAATGCAAATCAAAACTACACTAAGATATCACCTTACACCCATTAGATTGGCAAAAACATCCAAAACCAAGAGCGACAAATGTTGGAGAGGTTGTGGAGAAAAAGGAACCCTCATACACTGTTGCTGGAATGCAAACTGGTACAGCCACTATGGAAAACAGTATGGAGATTTCTCAAAAAGTTAAAAATAGAAGTACCCTATGACCCAGCCATCCCATTACTGGGTATCTATCCTAAGAACCTGAAATCAGAAATCCCAAGAGTCCCTTGCACCCCTATGTTCATTGCAGCATTATTTACAATAGCCAAGACGTGGAACCAACCTACATGCCCAGAAACTGATGATTGGATAAAGAAGATATGGTATATATACACAATGGAATACTACTCAGCCATAAAAAAAGACAAAATTGGCCCATTCACAGCAACGTGGATGGACCTCGAGGGTATTATGTTAAGCGAAATAAGCCAGTCAGAGAAAGACGAACTCTATATGACTCCACTCATAGGTGGAAGTTAGTATATTGACAAGGAGATCTGATGGGTGGTTACCAGGGAAAAGGGGGGGTGGGGGGAGGGCACAAAGGGGGAAGTGGTGTACCCACAACATGACTAACAAAAATGTACAACTGAAATCTCACAAGGTTGTAATCTATCATAACATTAATAAAAAAAAAAATTGCTGGTTGAAGAATAAGCGTATGTTTAACTTTCTAAGAAACTGACAAACTATTTTCCAAACTGGTTGAACAATTGTGCATTCTCAACAGCAATGTGTGAGAGTTCCAGTTACTCTATATCCTTGTCAAAACTTGATATTGCCAGTTTTTAAAATTTTAGCCGTTCTATTGGGTATATAGCTGTATCTCGTTATGGTTTTAATTTGCGTTTCCCTGAATACTGATGATTTTGAGCATCTTTTCATGTGTTCATTGATTTTTTTCTCTCTCTGTATGATATGTTAAATTCTTATATATACTAGTGTTCTATTCTGACTGTTCTCTTGATCTGTCTCTTAATTCTTGTATAAGTACCCCATTATTTTAGCTGTTATAATTTTATAATGCATCTTAATGCATGCCAGTGTAAATACCTCCTATTTTAAAAATATCCTGCCTATTTTCTCTTGTTTATTTGTCCATAGGAACATTAGAATAATTTTATTAAGTGGCCTCCCATCTTTAATGTTAAGAAAAGTGAACGTTTTGTTAAACCTAAGAATTATTTTAGAAGGAATCTTTGTAATAGTCTTCATATCAAGAAACATGTTATGTCTGCATTTATTTAGGTCTTTTATATCTCTTATAATATTTTGTTAGTTTTTTTAATATGTATCTGGCACATTTCTCGATGGTATTTCCACAAATTTCATTCCTTTGGCTATTTATTTTATATCCATATAAAATAGCAATTATTATTTTGTATTCTACTATTCACTTTCATTTTGGTATTCATTATAATCTTTTTTCATTGTCCTTTGAAAGTTAAAATCTATATGCTGCTCATGAATCTTCAGCTCTTCATTTCTTAAGACTTTAGAGGCTGAGCTGTAAGTGGGAAGTTCCAACAGCCCATAGGTCACATAAAACATTCTTACCTGGAAGGCATACATTCCGTTACCTGCATGTCTTATTTGGTCTTGAACTCAGGAAGCGTGTCCTGAGGGAACAAAACACAAAGTGGAGGCCTGCTCTTGAGGATAAGTGCCAGGGAGGATGTAGATGATAAATGTTGCTCTACTTTTAAAATAAGAAAACTGGAGGCCAGCCTGATGGCCCAGTGGTTAACTTCGCACGTTCTGCTTTGGTGGCCCGGGGTTCGCCAATTCGGATCCCGGGTGCAGACATGGCACTGCTTGGCAAGCCATGCTGTGGTAGGCGTCCCACGTGTAAAGTAGAGGAAGATGGGCATGGATGTTAGCTCAGGGCCAGTCTTCCTCAGCAAAAAAAGAGGACAGTGGCAGATGTTAGCTCAGGGCTAATCTTCCTCAAAAGAAATAAAATAAAATAAAAATGAAAAAAAACCCCAGAAAACTGGAAGTCTGAGCTGACATTAAACTTAGATGTGATTCCAAGTCCAATACTGTCTCTTCCCTCCATTCAGTTGCATATGAATGATAATAGGTATTCAGACACGCTCAATAATTTTGCAGAGAGACCAAAGATATTCTATGTCTTATATTATAAAAAGTATATTTTCCTATAATGTTGTACATTTTAACCAAAAGAATTAGCAGCTTATTTGTTTTGGACTTTTCTTTCAGTTCTGTTAGTACAGAGTAGCATGCTTCTCAGATTGTTGCACGGAACAAGAAAACCATTTTAATACATGAGGTAGTTGGTGCAGTTTGAGGAGGATTTTTTTCTTTTTGCCAGAAGTGGAGTGAATTACCATGACCTTCTTGCATAAGACATTTTCTGGGCTATTGAGTGTGTTCATATTATTGTGCTTTCTGATCCTTTTTTAAAAATAAAATGATCTTTTTAAAATAAACTCTGAGAAAAAAATGAAAGTAAATCTCTAGTTGTTCCTTAAGTGCTTATGCGATAAACCTCTTTATGAAACTAATAAGGATGCCATCATGTGTAGTTCCTAGAATTTTTAGAAAGTACTTAGAAGATTCCCACTGCTATGGAAAGTCCTGTGGGATTACATTTATCTTCTAACTATAAAGCATGATGTTCTGAAGTACAATAGAAATTTCCAATTATAAATATATTTTGGCTTTTACAAATATAATTTATTTTTGAATATTATCAATGAGGATAAAAGCAATTACAAGATAATTATCTGTTCCTTAAAATGTATATATAACATACTTTATGTTACCCCTTTCTCCTGAGTGTGTGAGGAACCTGTAAATAGGATGAGAGAGTCGCTTCCTTTGTTAGATTACAATATATATCAAATGGTGATGGGTTAGTCTCTCATGACTATGCTATGATTATGTAAGACTCCATCACACAAGACTGGAGAGAGACTGGAAGTCAGAGAGATGCGCTCCTCCTGGCCTGGAAGAAAGCAAACATTGTTTTGTGAACTGCCTCTGGCAAGGAACTACAGGCACTTCTAGGGACTGAGAGTAATGTCCAGCCGATAGCCAGCAAGAAGATGGGAACCTCAGTCCTACAACTGCAAGGAAATGATTCTGTCAACAACTTGAATAAGCTTGGGAGAGGACCCTGGGCTTCAGATGAGACCACAGCCCAGCCAACACCTTGATTGCGGTTTTGTGAGACCCTGAGCAGAGCGTCCAGCTAAGCTGTGTCCGGACTGTTGACTCGTGGAAACTATGAGATAATAAATCTGTTTGGTTTTAAGCTTAAAATTCGGTAGAAATTTATTACACAGCATAGAAAACTAAAACAATAACCTTCAGGAGATTATTAAACTGAGCTTAAGTTTTTTCATTTGTAAAATGGGAATCATAGCTCTTTATAGAGAAATTATAGGATTAAATGAAATGTTGATGAAACGTACCTGGAAATCAGTAGGTAGGCAGAAGTGTTGGAGTGTCAAGCTGGGTAGGCATTGCTTGCTGTGCGTGACCACTGTGGAGGTCACCTGAGAGTGGTTTTTGCATCTCTGGAGGGAGGTGTCTTACTAGCCCAGAACTGTGTAGTCTACACCTTTGGGGATACCCCAGACCAACTCGGCATGGTGGTAAAACCACAAACAACTGAATTTCAGTTTGTGTTTTGTTGAAAAAATCCTATTGGAATTTATCTAAAGTGGAAGAGAATTATAAATTTTGATTATGATCCAGTCGTGGAACCATGTCTTTTTGGGACTATTCTTTAAAATATAGTGAGTTGGAAAAAGGAAAGTTAATTTCAGGACTTTAAACGATAACATTTGAGATATAGATTAATTTCAATTTTTCTGTATTTGAGTATTTGTCTATATCTATATTTGTGTGAAATAATAGTTTATTGTTTGAGAAGCTAATGGAAGCATTTCTTTTATTAAGTCTCAAACTTACAGAAAATGTGCATATATAATATAAAGAACCTTTTTCCTGGAATATGAGTTGCCAAGATTATGCCCCATCACCCCCAGATACTTTAACATGCGTGTCCTGTATAGTCACAACACATTAGTCAAAACCGGGAAATTAGCATAGATACATTACTCCCATCTAATCCTCAGGCTCATTAAAGTTTTGCCGGTTGTCCCAACAGTGGCCTCTACAGCAAAGACGCCAGTTCAGGATCACACTGCATTTAGGTCTTATGTCTTTTGCCCTCCCTCTGTCTGTCCAGCACAGTTCCTCAGTCTTTCCTTGGTTTTCATGATTAGATTCTCGTTGGCTCCTTTCATGTGGGGCCTGATTTCAGCTTGTCCCATTACTGGTGATGTGCACTTTGATTATTTGGTTAAAGTGAAGTCTGCCAGGTTTCTACTCTTTCTTTTTTCCTTTGTAATTAATGAATATTTTTTGTTGAGAGATTCTTTGAGACTATGTAAATATCCCATTCCTCCTTAAAACTTCAATTAATTTATGTCAGTGCAACTTATGGTTTCCTATTTTCTACAATTGGTTACTGTCCATTGCTATCGCTATTTATCTGGATGTCCAAATTATCCCAGATTTGGCCGGTAGGATCCCCTTAAACTACCTTCTGTGTCTTTTTCGACATATACTCATAATTCTTTGGGTCCTTCTTTACTTCCTGGCACAACAAGATGTTTCAGGCTCAACTTAAACTTTCTCTGCCCCCGTCCTGGCATAAGCTGTTTCTCTAAAGAACCCTGATTCCTTTTGATTTCTAGACTAAGATCTGGGTGCTAGATTGCTCATTGCTCTTGGTTTGTCCCTGTTCCCAGGCTCTCTCCGACATATATATATATGTATAATTTAAAGAATAATTTTAAGGTTTGAAATGATTTAAAGAGTAATTTATAAAGATTAATTATGAAGCAAACCCCTGTGTAACTAGTGCTCAGGCCGTGAACTAGGATGTCTCCAGAGCCCTAGCATCCCTCTGAGAGGTGCTTCGGGTCACAGAGGTGACACAGTCCTGACTTCTGCCTTCCTTGCCGTGGTTTCACCCCTGGAGCATGCATCCCTAAACAAGTCTGTTTTCTCTACTTTTGAACTTTACACAAATGAAATCTTCTCCTTTATATTCTTTTATGAGTTGCTCACATACTTTATCGTTAAGATTCATCCATTTGCCACCTTGAAATTCTGACCCATTATAGACTTAATGTAAGAAATTCAGGCCATATTATTTATGAGAAAGACACAATTAATAGAAACAAAGGCACCAAAGTCCCCTATTCACTTTCACTTTTCATCCGTTTTATTATAATTTCTCTTTCCTGAATCTCTGAGATCCATGGAGCTCTCTTCATCCTCCATACTGTTAGCCGATCCTGACAGCCTCATCTCTGGTTTGCATGACTACTGCAGGTTCCTACCTGGTCTCCTGGCCTCCATTCTCCATAAAGCATCTGAAATAATTTTTGAAATGGAAATTTTCTCATCTCTTCCTTACATAAAAGAATTAAAAGAGGTACCACTGTCTTAGAGATTGCTAGAGAGCTAGTGTCTTACTACAATGGGCATTAATTTTCTTGGTTATGGGTCCACGCATTGGTTAAGGTGGCTCTACTTCACGAGGCTGGCGCTGGGCCTTGGGTTGAGTTCAGATCTGCTCCACGTGGCTCCACATTCTCTTTGGAACAGCAACTGCATGAGGCATCTTCTCACGGGTTTTCAAGAGGCCAAACCAAACTGTTGGAGTATTATGTCTACTAACACATCATTGGCTAAAGCAAGTCCCGTGGCCAACCCCAACATCAGTTGGTGGGGAGTATGCTCTGCCCACTTTACGATACTTCCAAGGTCACAAGACTGAGGGACGGAGTGAAGAATTGAGAACAATAATCGAATCACCACCACCATTGTCAAGTAGCAGTTCTTTCTGTTCTTGCTTAGTTTGCTAATTTCTTTATTTGTTCTCTTATTGACTAGTTTAGTTCTCTTACTTGACTATGATTTCCCATAAAAACATCACATTAAATCCCCAAAAAAGATATATGTAAAAGAATATAAGTAGTCAAATTTGGTGACCTGATACACAAATACTACTCTTGAGAAGTTCTGTGAATTGGAGCAAATCAATTTTCAGGTGACTGTCTCATTTTTCATGTTCAAAGGAGAATATTTCTAAATGTATCTCTTGAGAATTCTAAGAGCATGCAGAGAATGTTATTAGTCAAAAAATAGGATATTGAAATATTCCTAAGTTTCCTTTACTCACCAACTAGGCACTGATAAGGCTGAACTTTGGCCCTTGCACCATGACCTGTTGGTAAGAAGACATCCCTATCTCTCAGCAGGGTAGCATTATCAGTGCTGTTGACCAGGAAGATATTTAGCCAAAATATTGTAACAGTGAACTTCCTTTTTTTGCTCTGCTGTAGGACATAATGATTATATTTGTCCAGCCACAAATCAGTGCACAATAGATAAGCACCGGCGCAAAAGCTGCCAGGCCTGCCGGCTTCGGAAGTGCCATGAAGTCGGAATGGTCAAGTGTGGTGAGTGTTCGCTTCCCCTTTTATTGGATGTGGGACATGCTGAAAGCTTTTCAACTGAGGCCCATTCGAGGAACTGGGGACACATAGTCTGGATGAGTGGAGATTTAGGACTTGGTAGTTATCTTCAAGTACTTGTATGCTGTCACATTGGAGGAGACATTGACCTATTCCCCCTAGCTGCAGAGGACAGAGCTGGGGTGAATGGGAGCAAGTTACAGGAGGCAGATTCTGGCCCAATATAGGGAAGAACTTTCTATAATACAAGTGGTCTGACAGCAGAATAGGCTGCTGCATGAATCAGGGAACTGTAGCCACTGGAGTGTTCAAACCAGCTGGATGACCATCTGCCTGAGGCCTTGAAAAGTCTAAGGATGACGTTCTGGTAAATGTTCACAGTTAAAGCTATGATAAGAAAGTAGAATATTTTGGGAGTTCCTTGGGTGGCTATGGGGAAGACTCATGCCTCTCCCTCCATTAGCTTTCTAGAAGTAGAAAAAATGCATATAGGAGTCAGAAACATGAGAGAACTATGGAAAGCACGAGGAGCATAGATTTTGTTCTATGACAATAGGCATGTGTGCATATATGTGTATAAATATATATGTGTGCACACACATGAAAAAATAAAGGACAATGAGCATGTTAGTACAACAACTGACAACGATGCCTCCACCCTGCTCTCTCAACCTGAGGATTTTTGATTCACTTGTCTATATGCACTTGCTTGTTTATGTACGCTCATATCAGCTCTGCCTGTACTTTTCTTATTCTTCTGCTCGCTGATATTTTGCCTGTGGTTAGTTGTAATTTCTCTCTTTGTAACTATTTGAAAAATTTAAATAGAATTACAGCAGAATTTCTCTGAATTTGATCACAGTTCTCTGGCTTCCTAGCATCACTGATGTTCTCCATTTCCTCTGTGAAACATTCTGCTGTGCCCAGGACCTCCCAATGTGTGTTGGTTACTCTCCAACACACTTGGACATTTCTGCTCCCACCACTTCAGTAATGCGGTGGGAAAAATCCACCACATTTGGGGGAAAAATCATAAACCTAGAAAGATTCTGAATTCAATTGCTTTATGAGTGCCTAAGTTCTTTCTCTTTTTAAAAAGCTGAAACTGAAAATCCAGAGACAATGTATCATGGGTGTGTTTTATGCAGGAAAGTAACTTGTGGTTTAGTGGCAGAGTTACTTAAAGAGAAAGACTTGGCCCTCTGACAAAGGATTGCAAATAAATGTCTCATGTTTTAATTTAAACAATATTTTTAGGTGAGTGTGTATTTTTTTAAAAAACGATTTTCAATTTAGTCTTAGGTTAGGAATGCTTTCATTGAACGTACTAGGATGTTGGACAGCTGTAGCGCTCGTGGTTCAGGACAAGGGCAGCTGCAGATGTACGCTCTGCCTGTAGGGGGCAGTGTATGCGGCGGGAAGAACGAGGGCAAGACTCCCATAGACAGAAGCTCATGTTTTGTCTCATCACTTCATGCTAACTGTGACTATGCTCAAACAACACAACCTTTCTGGCACTCGGTTTTCTTTCCTCCAAAATGGAGATATCTGCTTCATTGAGTTTTGTGAGCAATACGTATGAAAATATATAAAGACCTAGCACAGTGTCTGGCACTAAATTTTAATTTTCCTTACTTTCTCTCCCCCTTATTGAAAATCTCATATAAGTTACGAGTTTTGATACAATACAGACTCATGAGGTAGAGTACAGAGATGTAGTTAAAAAAATCTTTCATGGGGGCTGGCCCCGTGGCCGAGTGGTTGAGTTCGCGCGCTCCGCTGCAGGCGGCCCAGTGTTTCGTTGGTTCGAGTCCTGGGCGCGGACATGGCACTGCTCATCGGACCACGCTGGGGCGGCGTCCCACATGCCACAACTAGAAGAACCCACAACGAAGAATACACAGCTATGTACCGGGGGGCTTTGGGGAGAAAAAGGAAAAAATAAAATCTTTAAAAAAAAAAATCTTCCATGGAAAAGGGAATGAGAGAAAAGGTAATTGAATTTGGTCAAAAAGTTACTGGGTAGGGCTAAGAAAAAACATTTTATCATCTTTGGAGATTACAGAAGAAATGAGATAGGTTGATGTGCAAACAGTTGGATGTTTAGCCCTTTGCTGACCACGGAGAAAGACCATTAGAAGTGAATTTTCTTAACCATGCCACCCTCCTTGCCCAGCACTCTTCTCATCTGCCCTCCCCAAACTCTCCCCACACTCTTCCTTCTGTCCAGTCTCGGAGGATTATGGGTTCTACCTGCATTCTGGATCTTCCTGCACCATTTAACTTCCACCTTTTATTCAGAAATCATGGTTCTTCGGTTATCACCTTTTTCTTCAGCATTTCCGATCATGTCTTTTCTACTGAGGTATTAATATGATTATTTAAATGGTAGGAAAATACCCACCCAGACTAATTTCAGGGATACAGCTTCATCATAAGGATACACTGAAATGTAAATAACCAGGAAAACAATCTGCATAGCCATATAGTTGGTCATATCCCTGTCTCTCAGATGCCATCTCTTTATTCACCTGCTGTGTATACACATGAAAGGGAATTGATAGGGAGGTGATATAAAAGCTCCAGCTCTGGATGCAGACTACTGATGGGGTTTAGATCTGCTTCTGTTATTTGCTAGCTTTTCTGTCTTGGGCAAGTTATTAGCTCTCTCGTGCTGGGTTCGTCATCTGTACCTTGGAAATAGTAATAGTACCTGTCCTCTGGGGCTTTTGTCAGAATGGGATAATCTATGTACAATACACAATGTCTGACACATAGAAGCTTCTGGAAGATGTTAGCTGCCATTATTATCAGTTACCATTATCGTTGTTGTCATCGTCATCATCTTTTTGCTGGGACTCTTTCTAATATGGAGCACTCCTGTTTGGTAGAGTCCCATTAAGCTCGCTCAGAGGCACACTGAGTGACTTACGACTCAGCCTGGATCACAGTGCCAAAGCCAGGACGCTAGAAATGTCCTTAGTAGAAAAATGTGAGTTCCTTGTCAAGGGTTTTATTTTATTGATCCTAGAATCCCCAGAACTCAGTGCAGGGCCTAACACAAGACTTTGTCAGTGAAAGTTGGTTAAATAAATTTGAATGTGATTCAAAACTTTTCACTTTGTATATAAACCTATTTTGTAGACTCCTTATCTTCATACACTCTACAAAAGAGAAATGTATGATCAGAAAGGTTCTTTCTTAAACCATACATTTTTTTCCATTTTATTTTGGGGGCATAATCGATCTTATATAGCATCTATAACACTCTGATTACTAATAAAATGAATTATATTGTAGGCTTTTACTTCTTTTAGTAAAAATTTTGATTCAGTTATCCCTGGATGGATAGAAACCTTCCTTCTACAGCAATTAGCCAAGGATAAGGTGAGATTGAGATAAATTTTCTAGGGAGCAAATAATTTAAATTTGCTCATTCCTCCTAACTAATGTTTCCTTTTAAAAATGCTGACAATTGAATTTTTGTGTGTGTGTGGTAACATTGGTTTATAACATTATATAAATTTCAGGTGTACATCATTATATTTTGATTTCTGTGTAGATTACATCATGCTCACCACCCAAAGACTTATTACAATTCATCACCACACACATGTGCCCTATCACTCCTTTCACCTTCCTTCCTCCATCCTTCCCCTCTGGTAACCACCAATCCAATCTCTGTCTCTATGTGTTTGTTATTGTTTTTATCTTCTATTTATGAGTGAGATCATATGGTATTTTACTTTCTCCCTCTGACTTATATGCTCTCATAATGCTCTCATAGGTCCATTCATGTTGTCACAAATGGCCAGATTTCATCCTTTTTTATGGCTGAGTAGTATTCCATTGTGTATATATACCGCATCTTCTTTCTCCATTTGTCCCTAATAAGCACGTGGGTTGCTTGCTAGTCTTGGCTATTATAAATAATGCTGCAGTGAACATAGGGGTGCATATATCTTTACACATTTGTGTTTTCATGTTCTTTGGATAAATACCCAGCAATGAAATAACTGGATCGTATGGTAGTTCTATTCTTAATTTTTTGAGAAATCTCCATCTGTTTTCCATAGTGGCTGCACCAGTTTGCACTCCCACCAGCAGTGTAAGAGAGTTCCCTTCTCTCCACATCCTCTCTGACACTTGTTATTTCCTGGCTTATTAATTATAGCCATTCTGGCTGGAGTGAGGTGATATTTCATTGTAGTTTTGATTTGCATTTCTCTGGATAATTAGTGACATTGAACATCTTTTCATGTGCCTGTTGGCCATCTGTATATCTTCTTTGGTGAAATATCTGTTCGGATCTTTTGCCCATTCTTTAACTGGGTTGTTAGTTTTTTGTTGTTGAGACGTATGAGTTCTTTATATACTTTGGATATTAACCCCTTATCAGATATATGGTTTGCAAATATCCTCTCCCAATTGTTAGGTTGTCTTTTCATTTTGTTGATGGTTTCCTTGGCTGTGCAGAAGCTTTTGAGTTTGATGTAGTCTCATTTGTTTATTTTTTCTATTGTTTCCCTTGCCCGGTCAGACATGGGACTTGAAAATATGCTGCTAAGACCGATGTTGAAGAGCGTACTGCCTATGTTTTTCTTCTAGAAGTTTCATAGTTTCAGGTCTTACATTCAAGTCTTTAATCCATTTTGAGCAGACAATTGAATTTAGTGAACAAACATAATGGTGGGAGTATCGAAACTAGGCATTTTGCTGATTTTAACTTTTAGAGAAAATTAATATAAAAGTTATACCCATGCTAATGACATCCTGACTTACAACATGTCTTTCTTAATTTCCATTTTACATCTTTGTCTTTAACCAATGGATATTTAGAAGTATTTTTGTGCTCAAATTTATAGGGGTTTGGGTGTTTTATATATATATATATATATATATATATATATTTTTTTTTTTTTTTTTTCTGTGAGGAAGATTGGCCCTGAGCTAACAACTGTTGCCAATCCTCCTCTTTTTGCTTGAGGAAGATTCTCACTGAGCTAACATCTGTGCCCATCTTCCTGTACTTTATGTGGGATGCTGCCACATCATGGCTTGACAAGCGGTGCTAGGACCACGCCCAGGATTGGAACCTGAGAACCCCAGGCCACTGAATGCAAACTTAACCACTGCATCACTAGGCCGGCCCCTGGAAGTTATATTTTCATTATTGATGTATTTTTTATTTTATTGTGGTCAGAAAATATTATCTATACAATATCAGCTTTAGTTAAAATTTTATTCAATACCTAGTGTATGATCATGTTTTCAAATTTTATGAGTTTTTATAGCACAAGCTTGTTAATTGTGTAGTTCAAATGTTCTGTATTCTGACTTTTCCCGCACCTGTTTGCTCTCTGAGTTGCTGAGAGAGATACGTTAAAATATCCTATTATGATAGTATATTTGTCAGTAGCCCTTTTTCTTTCAATCACTTTTTGGTGTTATTTGTATACTGTGTTTTCTTGTTGTTTTGCTGTTTTGATGTATATGAGTTTAGAATTATTTATCTTCCATTTATAATCTATTGATGAGGCCTTAATAATGATTTTTGCCTTAAAGTTTATATTGTTTGATATTGATAGAGTAATTCCAATTTATTTTGTTAATTTTTGGCTGTTATATCTTTTCCTATCCCATTACTTTCAGTTTTTCTGTATGTTAGATGTATCTCTGACAACCAGTCTATGTCTAGATTTAAAAATATGTGTGATCTCAGAGTTGCTCTTAATTGATGAATTTAGTCTGTGTTTATTGTGATCTCTGACATTTGGATTCATTTCTATTATCTTATTTTGTGCTTTTAAAAAATATGTGTATTTTCTATGTTTTTCATTTTTGGAGTTGATCACCAGAAAGTTTTCATTTTCCTCTTCTGCTAGTTTGGAAGTCATACATTCTGTTTCAATTCTTTTAGACAACATTTCTATTTTTAGCATGCATTCGTGGATTAATTTGAGAATTCAAGCCCCTCTCTCTAATAGATATCTCTCTTCCCTAACAAAGAATCTTAGAAAGCTCTAGACAAAATTATTCTTCTTTCATCTTATATGTTATTGTCTGGTATTTTGTTTCCACCTTGTTTCTGTACCGCCAAAAATTAATTATTATTATTTTATTCATTCAATGCTTTTCGGATTTACTCACGTATTTACCAGTTTATTTTCTTACCATTACTTCTTGACGTTCATTGTTTCTTCAGGCTTATTCTTCTCCATCCCAAAGAACACAGTAGTATTTCAAAGGGGCTATGAATGATATATCTTCTCAATCTTTGTTTAACTGAAAATGTCTTTAATTTCCTCACTCTTGAATGATAGTTTGGGAATATAAATCTAAATTGAAACTTTCTCCCCCGACTCCCATCTTAAAGACATTATCCCATTGTGTTGTGGTCCATAAACCTACAGTAACCGAAACATTTTGGTACCAGCGCAGGAATAGAAAAATAGATGTATGAAACAGAGTAGAAAATCTGAAAGAAGTTACTTTTATATAAATTCTTTATTAAATGACAAGGCATTTTATATTATATAATATATAGTATATATTTTTTTATATATAGTATATACATAAATATATATTTATATTATATATTTTTTCCAATGGGAAAGGCTTATTCAGTAAATGGTATTGGGAAAACTGTACATCCATTTGGAAAAACATAACATGAAATATCCTTATGACATGATACAAACATAAAATTCCAAATAGATTTGAACCACAAAAGTGCTTCAAAAAGTGAAGATATAGGAGAATATTGTGTAATCTTGATGTGAAGCAAAAGACAGATTTTTTTTTTCTTTTTGCTTTTTCTGTCCAAATCCCCCCATACATAGTTGTATATTTTAGTTGTGGGTCCTTCTAGTTGTGGCATGTGGGACGCCGCCTCAGTGTGGCCTGACGAGTGGTGCCATGTCTGTGCCCAGGACCCGAACCAGTGAAACCCTGGGCCGCCGCAGCAGAGTGCCGAACTTAACCCCTCGGCAATGGGGCCAACCCCAAAAGACAGATTTGACTATGTATTAAAATCTTCTTATGAGAAAAGACACCGTGAACAAAGTTAAGAGATATATAACAAACAAGACAAATATTGCATATAACAAAAGTTATATATTGTTACTATATAAAGAGATTTTATAGGGTATTGGGGGGAAATGGGGTGAAAGAAACAAACAGGCAATATAAAAGAAAAAGAAATACAAAGGGAAAACATATTAGTCAACCTTGCTAGTAATTAAAAAAATACGAAGATTGTTTAGTCACCTGTCAGATTAGCAAAGATTAAAAATGATTTTTGATGCCCCTGGTGTTATGAGAAAATAGCCCTTAAAGTATTGTTTAGAGTATACATTTTAAAATACTTTTGGAGGCTGATCTATTACTATGTATCAAAATTTTAAATGTGTATATGCCTTGGTTCAGGATTGGATGTCTGAATTTGTTGTAAGGAAGTGATTAGATACATGTACAAAGATGCATTTCATTGTAATATGTATACTAGCAAAGAAATTAGAACCAACTTAGATTTCCAACCACTGGGGACACTTTAAATAAGTGAGGCTATACTCATGAACAGAATGCTATAAAAATTTTAAAATTGTTGTAAAATGACATATTTTTAATAAAAAGGCAGGTTATAAAATAGTATATACACTATAATCCTAATTTTGTATATAATATTAGGAAAAATATAAAAGCATTAAAAAACCTGAAAGAATTTATACCAAAATTTGTGCTCTTCTGTATTTTCCAGATATTTTCAATTAATTTATTATTTGAAACATACTTATTTGTGTAAGTATATAAAAAGAATATATTATGTAATACATATGCATGCATGTAAACATTTTAAGAATGCATTATAAAAGTGTATTATTTGATGACTATTTGGAAATATCAATGTTCACTTCCTAACTTTCCTCTATCTTCTGCCTGAAGAAAATTCCAAATTACATGGTTTGGAAACTGAGGTATGTCAGCACTCTTAAAAAGAGAAATGGATTTTGTATCCATAGGTGACCTGAAATGGAGACCTTCAGATAATTTGGGCTATTGTCCCTAGCAAGTCATGTTACTGGTTTTGCCATATACAGTTACAACTGTAATAGTCATTGGTATATGCCCCCAGGGTCCAGAAGATAAAAGTCAGGCTTCTGTTCTAAGACATTCTGAAACTAGACTCAGGTCTTATAATGATAGCATTGCTTCATTTTTACCCTGGCGACTCGGGGAACTTGAATGCTGGGTCGGGGAAGGATGGGAAAGCCCTGTGTTATCATCTGCTCTCCGCCTTAGGCTCCCGGAGAGAAAGGTGTGGGTACCGCGTAGTGCGGAGGCAGAGAAATTCCAGTGAGCAGCTGCACTGCCTGAGCAAAGCCAAGAAAAGCTGTGGACACGTGAGCCGAGTGAAGGAGCTGCTGCTGAGCACCCTGAGCCCCGAGCAGCTGGTGCTCACGCTCCTCGAGGCGGAGCCGCCCAACGTGCTCGTGAGCCGCCCCAGCACGCCCTTCACCGAGTCCTCCATGATGATGTCCCTGACCAAGCTGGCCGACATGGAGCTGGTGCACATGATCGGCTGGGCCAAGAAAATTCCGGGTAGGGCTTTCTGGGTCTTAGCTTTGCATTGGTTTGTAGAAAGGCCTGTCCCTAACAGTTACGGGGCAAGAGTGCAAAATGGAGGTCCATAAACCATGTCTCCATATTTAACGGTTTGGCAGCTTGACTTATAACCTTTACATGAACTATATTCTTTCTTCCTATCTTGACGCACTATATACCTGCAGCATGTCCTGGAAGGCCAGGTTCCATTTTAGAATTCTTGGACTCCTCTGAGTTCTGTGCCAGACATGGCAGTACAAGAAGAGTTGTGCATGGCTGCGCCCCTTCTGTTCCCAGCTCTCTTCTTTTCCCACCCACACATCCATCTCACACAACCTTGCACATGCTCCATCCTACATGTCACACCTCCTACAGGCAATAGCCTTTGGTCACTTCTCATGTCTGGTCTGGGAGGATGGACCGGGGAAGAGACACACCCAGGCTCTGGAAATGGGCTTGGGGCATTTGGGCAGGAAATTCTAGGGCCCTGGGACCTGAAACATGGTCTAAAAGGAAGGGATCTAGACTTCACATTGACCTGTTTCCTGGCTGTGGACTCCTTACCTCGAAAGAAGGGGTATAGTGAGGTGAAGGTGGGGTGGAGTGCAATATAACCAGTATGGAAGTGGAAGGTTTGTCAGATGCTCAATATGAATTTGTAAAATATTGTTCCAATAGAGAAAGAACCAGTAGTAGGTACATAAATGAATGTATCTGGACAAGTAGAGAAAATTAGCAGCTGAAGTGACATCAATCATCAATAAACCTAGAATGCCACCAAGTTGAAAATAGGTTTGATTATTCAAGATGGTTATTTGGAACCAGCATTTTCCGTCCTATGACGTGGTGACTTCCCCAGGCCAGTTTGTAATATAAACATGAAGTATTGCATTGTGCTGAAATTACCATCTAATTACCATCTAAATTGGTGTTTCTGTGAAAGAGGGAATCTAGGATTCTAACAGAGAATGGCAGCACCCGTCCTCCCCCTGGAAGGGCTTCTCCATGCACGTCTTTCCCAGCATCTAAGAAGTGAGGTCTCTCTCCAGATTCTAAGCTGCTAGGGACGATTCCCAAGGCCTGGGGGCAGCAACTGCATTAGGGAAACTGTGAAGATGGGGAGAGCTGAGAAGCCGGGTGAAGAGCAGTTGGGAATAAAGAGCAGTGGGAATCAAGACCGAGGGTCATAGGATCTCTTGGGGTCATTTGTTGGCTTCTGAGCTTCCTCAGGATTTTCTAGTTTCCAGTTCTGTTTTGATAATCTAGCATCTCCACCTTTTCCAGGACTATATTGTTTTATCTTCTCTGCTCTTTCCCAGAGGAGACGATACTGATGCACTTCCCTCTGGCTTTCACTCTCCAAGTATTCCAAACACTACTTTTCAGAACCCCACCTGGAGAGTGGTGGTGAAATTGATTACTGCTGAGATCTGCACAGCTTCTCTGTGCCGTAACAAAACTGAACACTAAAGCTGCATTAGTCCCTCTTTAAGCTTGGTATTTTAAAAATTTTTCAGAAAACTTAGGCATAATCTGGAGGGGTGATTTTTTTCCCCTATGTCAGCTGATATAGTCATTGTCCAAACCAAAAAATTATTAAAATATCACCTAGACTTGATCTTGTTGAATATCTACAAGTGTAAAATGCTTGCTCTCCCTTGGGTCAGCTTATTGTCTACAACTATGGGTGAGATTGGAACATGTGCACATTTTAGGAACCTGAACTGAGCGTAGGATGTGGCTTTGGAAAGGATTTATCTATCCTTCCATTCATTGCTCCATTAAATTCTCCTTTGTGCAGATTTGCATTTTAATTGTTCAAAGATTTGAACCACGAGCGTCTCTGTGCCATAGTTTCCTCATATGTAAAATGAGGATGATGAGAGATCCTACCTGTAGGAAATTCTCAGAGGTAGGCGTTATTACCCCTATTTTTCTATAAGAACACAAAGACTTAAAAGGAGATTAGTAACTAACTAGGAAGAGGCTGAGCTGGGATTTTACCCAGAGTCCATTGCACTCTGAAGCTGTGCATTTGGCAACTGTTTTTGTATTACGCTGCCTCCTGCTTTTCTCGTGGCTTGTGCAGGAAGCACCAGTGATCTCTGCTTTGCTTTTGAAGCACTCACCTCCCTAGAGACTACCTGTTTCCTCCCAGTTCCTTGACCAATGCATGCTATTCAGCTATCAGGCTGTGGGAACCGGCTTCAGTTGTCAGATTTGCTTTTCCCGTTAGAAGAGCCTGGAGATAGCGCTCCTGCTCAGAAGAGTGACTCTAACACTGGATGGGAAATTTTAGGCAATTGGAGAAGTCCTTTCGGTTGAAGCCTTGACTTTCTACAGGGGCTGGCCCTGCTCTCTCTGCATGCCCTCCACTCCCCACCCCACCTACCACATCCGCTCACTCCTCCCCGCCCCAATCATGCACTGGGCCAGTCAAGGCACCCCCTCTGGCCAGCAGTAGAGCGTTATCTTCCTCAGCAGTGCGAGGAGTGATTAGGATCTAACGAACAAAGATCTGTCCCAGCTTTCTGTTCTTCCCTAGCATCTGTCTGGGGAGCTGTACCAGCCCAGGTAACAGGTCCTTTATAAATTCTAAATGAAGTATTTGTCCTAGAAGGAGTCCAAGACTGGAAATAGTGAGATGCACACCTTAAGTTCAAAATTTTCTTCCTTAGGTCAGGATTTAACCACATCTTTGTAATATTGTTTCCCCGTGTTGTTTGTGTTTCCTTAGCTTTTTAAAACTTGCTGTTCTGTCTCTACAGAAACAGGGAGCTGAGGAAAGGGCGGGGGTGTCTCACGGCCTCTTGCTTTCCCCAGGCTTTGTGGAGCTCAGCCTGTTCGACCAAGTGCGGCTCTTGGAGAGCTGCTGGCTGGAGGTGCTGATGGTGGGCCTGATATGGCGCTCAATCGACCACCCCGGCAAGCTCATCTTTGCTCCAGACCTCGTTCTGGACAGGTAAGAAAAAGGGCTTTGTGTTTCTTCTCCGAGTTGTTTGAGTGAGGCGCTGAGTGAGTGGGAACACGGTCCTGGGTGCTGCAGTTAAAATCTCGCACCTGAAGGGGCAATTAGAGGATGATAAGGTCATGAGCTCCTTCGCTGGCTTAGGAACCTGAGAAGGGGAACACAGGGACCAGGATTCAGTGTCCTGTGACTCCTCTTACTGCAGTGGGGCAGCATTCACAGGCCAGGCCATTATAGGGGTCTGTGTCCTGCAGGGTATGTGGCCACCAGGTGTATCAACTTAGATTTTTCTGCTTAAAAATTCCATTTTTGGGTTAAGTTGTCCTGCTGTTCTTTCCACCTATAGGGACCAATTACATCGCCAGCTATCTGGACAGGTAATAAAATTGTTACAAATCTGCTAAGTTTATTTTGACATACTTTAACTCACTCTAATTGCATGTACCATATAGCATTTTTGGCAATAGTGGTGGAAGGAGTGATTATTAAAATCAGACGAAAGTTAATGGGAATTGGGGAATGTTAGTGATGATGCCATAACCTGGTTGCATGTAGTTTTCTTTTAACGAGGGCACAGAAAAGGAACCAATTTTTAATTGACTTAGGTGAACTGTTTATGGAGGGAAAGCTGGAATACACAGCACTCAAGCTTTTTAGTAGGAAAAATCGAACACTTTCTTGGTTTAGATTTAAGGAGTTTGAAACTCTCCATGGAAATTGCTTTCCACATACCTTATTTTGAAAAAGTTCTGGTGTGGAACGCTCAGTCGCGTTTGATTCTGTGCACAGAGAAGGGTGCCTAGTGCTATGAGCGGAAAGCATCTGCCTCCAGCTCTTGGTATAACCTCTTCAGAGCATCCGAATCTCCCTATGCACATGTTACAGACATGAAAACCCCCAAAGGATTAGCACTCGTTCTGCCTGTTGTCATGGATGCTAACATGGACAAGGAGCTCTGTTCTGTAATGGAGGTGTTTTGGTGGAGAGCAGAGCCCTTGGGAAGAGCTGGAGCATGGGATGTGGCTCCAGCAGAAACAAACGTAGGTGGTAAACCACAGAGGGAGGTTCTGGAAGCCTAGGACAGGTAGAACCCTTCAGTAACGATCAAAATAGCTAACTTATTGGCATGTATGTACCAGGCACCATCTTCAGCACTTGATGTGTGTTAACTCACTTCATCTTCACAACAGCCCTTTATGGGTAAGCACCATTATTATCCCTGTCCTTCAGATATGGGAACGGGAAGTTAGGTAACTTGCCTATAGTTAGAGTAGTAAGTGGTGGACATGGACTTAGGGGGCTGGCTGTGAAGTCCACACTCTTTACTACAACAGTACATGCCTCTCAGCAGGATACAGAACTGGAAGGGGGAATAGGAAGAGGCTAAAAGGCAAACTTTCTACTTTATTCTTTTGTCTTGGAACAACTCTATTCTACCTTCTGCCCACTTCAGAAGCCTACTCCTGCTGTCAGCTCATGCTACCATGTTTCAAGGCGGCCTGAAAGACTGAGCACCCAGTCAAGCCATCGCTCTCATTCATTCATTCATTCATTCACTCATTGAATTTGACGTGGTGTTTCAATAAAGCCACATATGTACCTCCTCTCTCTCACATGCACACACACACACACACACACATACATAAATATACACATATAATTCTCCTAGAAGTTAGTGCTAGGAAGAAGTTCCATCCCTTGATGAACCAATAAATTTGCAGACATTCGGATTGCGTTATTTTACTTTTTGTCTTAATTTCTAACTTAATGCCATATTTAGTGTTTATTTTCAGTGACTATTTCATTCCTAGTTTTTGGTACAATTAAAGGATTCTTTAACTCCTGTAAGTATGTGTATAAGTTACTATAAATTGACACAAATCCCAGGTAAATTTTAGGCCTACCTTTTGGTTAAGTAACAGAAGAAGAAAAAAAGAAAGAAGTCATTTTTTTTACAAACTATTTTTAATAGACTCACATTACTCTTTATAAATATTTGAAAGCACTATATTTTACAACATGTAAATCTAGTTTATATGGTTGAGCATGGAAGAGGAGTTCTTGGGAATTGTAAATGCATTCACATTGAGCAGGCATTTTTTTGGAGTGCTTATTGGTGGATATTTTTTGTTGCAGTTGCTACTATTGTTTTTAACACATGAACTCTGTGACATCTAGAATTTCAAGTCCAAGATAGTTCAGTTTCTTAGTGTATCTATTATACAAGTAAATACACTTTCATGTAATGAGTATGTTTCTGGAGGAGTTGCTTATTAAAAAATGTTTAAAATATTACTTATTCAAAAAGTCAGGGATCGTACACCATAAAGAAGTTCTATTTTGAATCTTTTTGCGGTGTAAATAAATAATTTTCACACTACTTGAAAATAACTGTCTTTTGGTGGATCATCCTATCAGAGTTCCTTCAAGTGCTGGTATGACCATATGAGCAACGAATACAACTAAATTAGCCCATTTGTGGAGACTGAGACTATGATTTCTGTTTCCCTTTATTCTTTTTTTTCTTTATGGATCAAGATTTTTTAAATTATTTTTTAATTGCAGTAATATTGGATTATAACAATATATAGCTTTCAGATGTACATCGTAATATATGTCGAATTCTGTGTGGATTACATCATGTTCACCATCCAAAAACTAATTATAGTCCATCCCCTCACATGTGAGCTTAATGACCCCTTTTGCCCTCTCCCCCACTTCTCCTCTGGTAACCACCAATCCTAAATCTCCGTTGCTATGTGTTTGTTTGTCGTTGTTTTTATCTTCTGCTTATGAGTGAGATCATATGATATTTAACTTTCTCCCTCTGAGTTATTTTACTTGGCACAATACCCTCAAGGACCATCCATGTTGTCACAAATGACCAGATTTCATCATTTCTCATGGCTGAGTAGTATTCCATTGTGTATATATATCACATCTTCTTTATCCATTTGTCCCTTGATGGGCACCTAGGTTGCTTCCAAGTTTTGGCTATTGTGTATAATGCTACAATGAACATAGGGGTGTAAGTATCTTTATACCTTTACATTTTCAAGTTCTTTGGATAAATACCCAGCAGTGGGATTGCTGGATCATATGGTAGATCTATCCTTAATTTTCTGAGGATACTCCATACTGCTTTCCATAGTGGCTGTACCAGTGTGCACTCCCACCAGCAGTGTGTGAGGGTTCCCTTCTCTCCACATCCTCTCCAACACTTATTTCCCGTCTTGTTAATTATAGCCAAATGACCGGAGTGAGGTGATTGTAGTTTTGATTTGCATTTCCCTGATAGCTAATGATGTTGAGCATCTTTTCATATGCCTATTAGCCATCCACATATCTTCTTTGGAGAAATCTCTGTTCAGATCTTTTGCCTATTTTTCAATTGTGTTGTTGGTTTTCTTGTTGTTGAGATGTATGAGGTCTTTGTATATTTTGGATATTAACCCCTTATCTGATATATGGTTTACAAATATCTTCTCCCAATTGTTAGGTTATCTTTTCGTTTTGTTGATGGTTTCCTTTGCTGTACAGATGCTCTTTAGTTTGATGTAGTCCCATTTATTCATTTTTTCTTTTCTTTCCCTTGCTCGGTCAGACATGGTACTTGAAAATATGCTGCTCAGACCAATGTCATAGAGCGCACTGCCTATGTTTTCTTCTAGAAGTTTCATGATTTTGGGTCTTACACTCAAGTCTTTAATCCATTTTGAGTTAATTTTTGTGTATGGTGTAAGAAAATGGTCAACTTTCATTCTTTTGCATCTGGCTGTCCAGTTCTCCCAACGCCATTTATTGAAGAGACTCTCCTTTCTCCGTTGTATGCTCTTGGCTCCCTTGTCGAATATTAGCTGTCCATAAATGTGTGGGTTTGTTTCTGGGTTCTCAATTCTGTTCCATTGATCTGTGTGTCTGTTTTTGTGCCAGTACCATGCTGTTTTGGTTATTATGGCTTTGTAGTATATTTTGAAATCAGGGAGTATGATACCTCAGGCTTTGTTCTTTTTTCTCAGGAATCCTTTGGCTATTCGGGGTCTTTTGTTGTTCCATATAAATTTTAGGATTCTTTGTTCTATTTCTGTGAAAAATGTTGTTGGAATTTTGATAGGTATTGTGTTGAATCTATAGATTGCTTTGGAAGTATGGACATTTTAACGATGTTAATTCTTCCACTCCAAGAGCACGGAATATCTTTCCATTTCTTTGCATCATCTTCAATTTCTTTCAACAATGTTTTATAGTTTTCAGTGTACAGATCTTTCACCTCTTTGGTTAAGTTTATTCCTGGGTATTTTATTCTTTTTGTTGCAATTGTAAATGGGATTGTATTCTTAATTTCTCTTTCTGCTACTTTGCTGTTAGTGTATGCAGTTTGCAACTGATTTTTGTATGTTGATTTTGTATCCCGTGACTTGACTGTATTCATTTATTGTTTCTAAAAGTTTTTTAGTGGATTCTTTAGGGTTTTCTATATATAAAATCATGTCGTCTGCAAAGAGTGACAGTTTCACTTCTTCTTTTCCAACATGGATCCCTTTTATTTCTCATTCTTGCCTGATTTCTCTGGCTAGGACTTGCAATACTATGTTAAATGAGTGGTGACAGTGGGCATCCTTGTCTGGTTCCTATTCTTAGAGGGATAGCTTTCAGGTTTTCTCCATTGAGAATGATATTTGCTGTGGGTTTGTCATATATGGCCTTTATTATGTTGAGGTATTTTCCTTCTATACCCCTTTTATTTAGAGTTTTTATCATAAATGGATGCTGTATCTTGTCAAATGCTTTCTCTGCATCTATTGAGATGATCATGTGATTTTTATCCTTCATTTTGTTAATGTGGTGTATCACGTTGATAGATTTGCAGGTGTTGAACCATCCCTGCATCCCCGGAATGAAACCCACTTGATCATGATGTATGATCTTTTTAATGTATTGTTGTATTTGATTTGCTAGTATTTTGTTGAGGATTTTTGCATCGATGTTCATCA